AATTTTTTTTTTTTTAATAAAGGAAACAAGGGTAAATTGCTACAACTGTATGAACCTGACCTATACTCATGGAGGTAGTAACTCTAAATACCAACAGAGAGGGAAGGAGTCTTCACATCAAGTATCAATGCTATCTCCTCTGTACACAGGGTAGATAGGATGGGCAACTTACACACTGGCTATCTAAAATTGTGGCATTGTGGGCTAATGCATCAGATTGCAAAGTCATTTGAACTGCAAGGTCTGTGGTTCAAGCTCCTTGGAAACCCTATACAGGGTTGCTATAGGTCGGAATCGACTCAACGGCACTTAACAACAACGACACCTAAAATGAGGGAGTAATAAAGGCACAAAGTGACTGGCTTACAAGGCTTCAAGGGGGAACTTAGTTTAATAGTGCGTGGGGGAAAAAAGAATACCCACTGAATAGTTTTTATTTTGTCCAGATGGGTCTGGTTAAAAGAGCTGGGGATAAGATTCTTATGACTCAATAGTGAGTAACTGTTATCATGACTAATTGTGGCTATCACAATCGTAAATGTAGAAGTTTGGTAACAAAAAACAGGGGCGTAGTTAATCTTATAGTCCAGAAACAGAAGACCCTAGGATCATCAAAGGAGAAAAGCACAAACAGAATTCAAGACCTTATCCAGAGAAGCAGTGACACCAGAGATGGGGTCATAGAGAGAGCTCCGGCTAAGGACTGTAGTAGATTCATGGGAAGAAAGGGACTAAGAACGGGCGGCCAGGAGACAGACTTGCATAATGTGCCCTTTGGTGGTATAAATTATTATACATGCCTGAGTATTTGAAAAAAAAAAAAAAAAAGAGCTGAAATGAGAAGAGAGAAATACTGTTAACTGATGGTACATGGAGGGGATTATAATCAATGTAACGAAACAAGGTGTATGATTTGCTGAATGTAAAACTGATGATATGCCCTGTACTTACTCAATCCACAATAAAAACCTTAAACACATTTTAAAAAAAGAAGATGGAAGGAATACAGAGTCACTGTACCAAAAAGAAATGAATGGTCAACATTCAACCATTTTACAAGGTAGCAAATGATCAAGAGCCAATGATAAAGAAGGAAGAAGTCCAAGGTATGCAATGAAGGCATCGGCAAAGAACAATTCTTTTGGGAATTGATGGAATACAAAAACATTTTATGGATTGCACCTCAATAAAAAGAAAGCAAAAGTCTCCACCACTGGACCAATAAATAACATTCAAAATAAATGGAGAAAAGACTGAAGTTGTCGAAGACTTCATTTTGCTCAGATCAACCATCAACACTCATGGAAGCAGCAATCAAGAAATCAAATGACGTACTGCATTAGGCAAATCTGCTGCACAAGACCTTTTTTTAAAGTATTCAAGAGCAAAGACGTCAGTCTGAGGACTAAGGTGCACCTGACCCAAACCATGGTATTTTCAATAACCTCATATGCATTGTGAAAGTTGGACAGTGAATAAAGGAGACCATAGAAGAACTGATGAATTTTAGTTATAGTGTTGGAGGAGAATGTTAAAAGTACTAGGGACAGTTAAAAGAACAAACAAATCTGTGTTGGGAGAAATACAGCCAGAATATTCCTTAGAAGCCAGGATGGCCCGACTTTGTCTCTCAGACAATAATATTATCAGGAGGCACCAGTCCCTGGAGAAGGGTATCATGTTTGGTATAGTGGAAGGTTGGAGCAAAGGAGGAAGTACCCCCAACAAAATGGACTGGCACAGTGGCAGCAGCAATGAGCTCAAGTGCAGCAACAATTGTGAGGTTGGTGCAGGACCGGGCAGTGTTTCATTCTGTTGTGCACAAGGTTGCTATGAGTCCGTACCGACTCAATGGCACCTAACAACAGTAACAACCACCATCAAACACTACAACACAGCTCCTGGGAATGGCCAAGTTAAGTCCTCACAGTTCCTGACACACACTCTGAGGTCTTCTGGGAGCTACATACAGACCCTTCACGGGGTTTGAACTTGGTACTCTCCATCATCAGAAGACTTCATTAGAGTAGCTGCGCAATCACAATGGGCTAATTCCACATGATCAGCTGCTGATAGCTTGATCCTCACAGGGCTGAATGCTAACAACAGCGCAGGTAACAGGTTCAGACCTCCCACCCTGCTGTTAGAAGAGCGCCCTCTAAAGAGGGATCCAGAAGAAAGCTCCCTCCTCTCGAGTTCTCGGATTCAATTAAGACTTGTCAAGCTGTTCCTTTCTCTCCTTTTCAGCAGCACTGACGCTGAAGTACAAATTCTACCTTTTTTAAAAAGCTCAGATCTTGAGGCAATGACAGCTTGATGTCAATGGGAGGAAGAGAAGCTGTTTTGATTACAGTGCTATCAGTTCAAAGCCCTCAGTAACTTAGGAAAGTTCTGACTTAAAAGGATGCAAACTGCCCCAGGAGCTACTCTATGGCGGCACTGTGATGGTGAGGTATTTAAGGAGCCCTGGTGGCACCGTGATTAAAGCACTCGACAGCGGCTTCATGGGAGAAAGATGTGGCAATCTGCTTCCTGATTTTTTTGCTTGTTTACTAAGTGCCACTGAGTCAGTTCTGAGTCATGGTGAGTGACCCTGTATAGGGTTTCCAAGGAGCGGCTGCTGGGTTTGAACCACCAACCTTGCGATCAGCAGTCTAGTGCTTATCCCTCTACACCAGGACTCTGTAAAGATTACAGCCTTGGAAACCACGTGGTGGGGTGTGCCACGAGCTGGTTTGGGCTCATGGCGAGCCTGTATATAGGGCTTCGGAGGCAGTAATCTTTAAAGGAGCAGAAAGCCTCATCTTTCTCCCTAAGAACAAATGGTAGATTTGAACTGCTGACACTGCAGTGAGCAGCCCAACGCTACCAGTGAGCCAGTTCTATTCTTTCCCATAGGGTTGTCATGAAGTCAACTAGTCAGCAATGGTGTTATTATTATTATTTTAATGGTTAGTTATTTCATTTAACATCTTTAAAATTATGCTGATCAAGAAGGGGGGGGGGCATGAAAAACTCATCCCTGAGAAGTAATAGATAAATAATAAAACTCAAGAAAGAATGAGATATGAAAGAAAAGACTATTTCCCCCCAAATCATGCTGAGCTTGATGTCCAAAAGTCATGCTAACATGTAAATCAGAATGCTTCTGGAAATGTCTAACGTGGCCCTGGGAGCAAGATTACAAAGGCGAGCACTATGGCTGCCAGATTCACAATTTCTCCAACAATGAATTTAGGGAAAGGGACAAGGAAATGGACAGGCCCAGATTCAAGCAGATGGGGAAGACACACAACCGAGGCTTCAAACAAGAGTTTACGTTTCCATTCAAGTCAAGCTTTAGCATTAATGTACCGAAAGCACATGGGATTTTTTTACAGCTTCTTTGATGTCATTAAAATCCAGGAGATTCAGAAAACTACCTCTATTCAGAAGGGGCCACACACCAAAAAGGAATGAATGAAAGCACAATGAGTCCTGAGCTTGGGTACGATGAAGGGAAACAGTACGCGGTCTTGTCAAGGTCAGAGTATCTCGTATCCTGAGAAGATAGTATGTATCCACAGTTAACAACACCGACTTTCTTGTTGGACAGACTTTAGGATTTCACGACCTTGGGTAACTCTCATAACCCATCCCTCTGGGGTTTTGTTTTCTTAACTGGCAAATGGACAATGGTGGCTTCTTCAGAGATTTAAATGAAAGTATTTCTGTAAGCATTAACTGCTATGCTGGATACTCACAAGCACCCAGTAAGCAGTGGCTTTAATTTTTGTCACTGTTACTGCTGCCTGGCCAAGTTACGGCCATGTGTCCTTCACAGGAGACAACGGAGCGTTCACAGCTGTGCACTGACAGGCATGTTCCTCACCTCATGCTCAAGCCCTGTGAGGGGTGTACGTGCTGAAGACTGATTCTGGTTACGCATCCCCCTCCACTGCATGTCGGGGCAACAAGGATGTGGGGATTGGGTCCAGGTGGGCCTGTGTTCACCTTTCAGCTCTGCTACTTACTAGCTGCACGGACCTGCATGTATTTATTCACCTGAGCCAAGGCATCCACATCACCACACTAATTGCCTTACATCTGGAATGTTCCTGAGAAGCCAGAATGATGAGACCTCATCTTACTAACTTGTGACATGTCATCAGGAAAGACCAATCGTTAGAAAAGGAAGGACACATGAGGTCACTGGAACTGTGAGATGGCTTCAAGTACGACCCGCAACGCCGGGCTGGAGCAAATCACAGGTCATGAAGAGGACGCTGGACAGAGCCAGTTCAATCTGTTTATTCGTCAGGTTGCCAGGAGTTGGACTGACTGGGCGGTAACTGTCCTCAATGGTTCCCACCTTAGGGCTGTTGTGACAAGGAGATGAAACGAGACAGGCCCCCACTCTAGTTGCTGGCTCACAGTAGGCCTTCAACACCTGGTAACTTCCTGAGTACTTGCTCCTGTGGAATTCTACTTAGGAGACAAATCCAGGTTGCCTGGGGCTTTGCGGGGACCGCAGCAAAAGCTCAGAAAATGAATGTGCAAATTTACATGTACATTGTCTATAGTAAGGCTATTTGAACACATCTGGAGTCCTGATAAGATAAGGCCTAGGATCAGCACTAGAATGGCTAACTGCAAGGTCAGCAGTTCAAACCTAAAAGCCGTGCCTTGAAAACCTTTATAGGGACACAATAAGTTGGAACTGACTTGATGGCCCTTAATAACAACAAACACATCAGTAAAACCTCTAATCCATAGAAGAGATAAAGAAGACAGAAGAGCAGCCACGAACTGAACATTGTTAATTCCCCACTGGCCTTACTCTACCAGCAGAGCCCTCTCTGGGACACCACCCAAGTTTTGAATGCTCCAGTTAAACAGATCCTAAAATCATCCGGGTCTTTGGATGACTATGAGGGCTCTGCCACTGATGGAAGCTATGCTATCATTTCTTCCCTGCGTCCCCAGGACGAGCTTCTAGAGCATTTAAAGAATTGGCAACCTCAGAATTTTAAGACGACCCAATGCTGACCTGCTGGAGAAAGCTCTTTCTTCATCCTTTTTAATTTCTTGGACTTTTTCCTTCCTTCTGAGACGGTTTCTACACAGGAATCTATCTTCTCAAGTTCAGCGTCAGAAATCTCCCCCGATGCTGTGTCCTCCAAACCAGCTTCTTCTAGACTGGGGCTCACATTTCTCTTTCCTACTGTGCTGGTGGCTGAAAAACTGCAAGGCACACAGAGGAACAGCATGAGAGGTGCGAAGAGTAACAGGAAGACTAGCCTACAAAAATATTTTAATATTCTGAATTCCATTAACACTTAACTAGCAATCAAGTACATTGAGGGTGAAAGTTAAAGACCTCATTATGAACGGAAGCCAGAAAAGGTCACCCATGACAAGCTTTTTCAGAGGCTAGTTCTAAGTCGAGCTTGTACAGAGACACATACCTATATAGTTACTATCCTTAAGTTCTAAATCGAGCTTGTACAGAGACATATACCTATATAGTTATTCCTAGCGCTGAAAGAGGAGGGGTCCCTATTTTGGTATAGATCCTCTAATAAACACCTGGTGGGAGCTCCTGGGTGGTGTAAGCACTTATGCACCCAATTAACCAAAAGGTTGGTGGTTCAAACCAACCTAGAGGTACCTCAGAAGAAAGGTCTGGTGATCTGCTTCTAAAAGGTCTGCCTTGATAACTCTGTGGAGCACAGATCGACTCTGACACATATGGGGTCACTAAGAGTTGAAGTCAATTCAACAGTAATTGCTCTTTTGTTTGTTTACTATAACAAAACAAAGGAGCCCTGGTGGTACAGTGGTTAAGTGTTCACCTGCTAACCAAAAGGTTGACGGTTCAAACCCACTAGCTGCTCTGTGGGAGAAAGATGTGGCTGTCTGCTTTTGCAAAGGTGACAGTCTTGGCAAGTCATTAACTTTTAATCACGAACTTTTGTATACACATATATGTATATCTCAGATATATTCCCACTCATAATACAAAATATGCATAAAACTACACTGAAATACCATAGCTTATCCACTAGATTGGCAAAAAATTTAAAAGCTTGACAATATACTCTGTTGGTGAGACTGGAGAAATAGGCACTCTCATCTTACATGACAGAGGAGAAGTGTGCTCCATAGGAGCGCTCCGGCTGTAATCTGCATGGGAGAAGATGGCCAGTCTCCCATGGACCATTATGCCATCAGTCCAGTGCTTAGCCTAAAGCACCACACCATTATGGTTGCTGTTCCATGTGCTCTGCTGAGAGTAAGACATGCACTGGGATGGACTGGAATGAGAGAACTGGGCGTGGGCTTGTGATTTCTAGAATAGCTGTGTGTATATACATGTAACCTTGAAAACTCTATACAGGGTCGCTCTGAGTTGGAATTGACTCAATGGCACCTAATAACAAATCTACGTGCATGTCTATGTATATATGTTATGCATGTAATGGACTCATGGCCTGGCACTGTAGGATCAGCACTGGACTTTAAGTTGCAAGGTGGGTGGTTCAAACCCACCAGCCACTCCTCAGAAACTCTCTACAGGGTTGCTATGAGTTGGAACCAACTCGACAGCAATTAACAATAACAAACAACATTGTATAGGGCTTCTAATGAGTGGCTGGTGGGTTTGAACCACTGACCTTGTGGTTCCAATGGATCTTGAGGTCTAGTGCTTATTCTATGGTGTCACACATAAGTATGTTTGTATGTCTGCCCATTCTCATTCTTTCCTAGCTTTGTCCTCTGAAAAGATGGAGAAGCAAAGACATGAACACATGCAGTGCCCAGTCTTTGTCTCTAATTCCACCTCCCACTAAAAGAAACCAGGGCTCCTTGAAGAAGTGGCTGATTCCAAGGTTGGGGTAGAGAAGGTATAAAATGAGGCTGAAGCATCAAGATTAGAAAGCAAGGAACAGCTCAAAAAATGAAGGAATCTGTCAGAGGACCTAGGGATCAGCTTGACCTCCCAATGGCCAAGTCTGGTACAAATCATTAAGGAGCAGAAATGGATTCTAAACCATTGGAAAACAAAGGAACTCATGAGTTGGTATCAATAAATGTTGCTGCTGTTGTTAGGTGTTGCCGAGGGCTCACCAGAATGAAACACTGCTAGGTCCTGCGCTCATCTCAATGTCATTTACACACCTGAGTCCACTGCTGTGTCAACACGTAATAGCAGCGCCTGGAGAAGGACGCCATGTTTGGTAACGTACAGGAAAAGACAACGGTCCTCAACAGGACGGAGGAGACACAGTGGTTGCAACAATGGATCCAAGTACGGCAATAACTGTGATACAGGTGCAGGACCAGGCAGTGTTGCGTTCTGTTGTACAGAAGGTCAGCATGAGTTGGAACTGACTCAATGACACAACAACAAGGCTAGCTGTGAAATAGTAAAGGCTGAGAGTGAGAAAACCGTAAGCCATCATTTTACAACCATCACAGTAGAGAATGGTCGAGGCAACAGATGTGAAATCTAGGGAGAGATCCTGAGAAAAGTAGAGTGTTTGCATGGTGTTCAAATGTCTCTCCACAGACTGAAACATGGAGAAGGACAAACCATCATTTACGTAGTAGTATTCTGGTCAAGACTGGATAACCTGAATCTAATTATGAAGAAACATCAAGTAACCAAATAAACCTTTCCTTTTATATAGTTGAGTAAAGAGAGCTATATAATCCTGATTCCACAACAGTGGACTGTGTGGTAAATGTGGACCAAGAGAAAACCTAGACTTCAGTATCTGTAAGTATCTTACCTGTAAAATGAAGGAATCAAATGCCATCTCTAATCATTCATAAAATCCCATCATCTGTGAAATCATTTCAGAAGAGTTCAAATAAATGTGGAACTCAAAGAGAAAATGAAGAGCTTCACTTTTGACAGTTGCCAAGTAGCTCCCAATGGAACAAACCTCTTGCAGATAAATATAAACTTTGGTCAAAATATTAAGTAAACTATTGAAAACACTGGAGAAAAACCAAAATCAGACCCAAATTGGGGAGTGAAAAGTGGGGGGCAGGGGGAGTCAATATTTGGAAGAAGAAAACCACATGACTGATTTTCCTGTTTTTATGCAGTTGGACTTGTATTGGGTGGCTAAAACAAGAACAGAAATTGGCACCAGAGAACACAGTTTGAGGTGACCACAGCCGCTGGAAACTGAAGGTAAGGAATCCAAGAGAGGACAGTGGCAATGGGGGAGAGCCACAGAGCTTGGGTAGAAATTCTGTCCCCACCTTTGGTTGGTTCCTGAGTCACACAAATGTAGACGAGACTACGCAGCCCAGTTACGTTTCAAAGAGCAGAACACAAATTGCAGCTACTGTCCAACACAGGGAAGACAGAACTTAGACTTTGGGTTTAGACAAGTCATTTTCTTGCAAAAACATGCAAGCAAGCAAATCAACACTCATTAGAGGAATAAAACAGAACCGTGGGGTGTGGACAGCACTGGGTGACATAAAGATGACAATAAATATCATTTTTGTGCAGTGTTTCAGCAAAAGTTTATTGTTTCTTAGAAAAATATCCCTGGTTAGTTATAACAACAAAAAAACATTTTTTCACGAGCCCAGCTTGTTGTTGTTAGGTGCCATCAAGTCAGTACCGACCCATAGGGACCTTATGCCCAGCAGAATGAAACACTGCCCGATTCTGGGCCAATCTCATTACTGTTGCCATGCTTGAGTCCATCGATGCTGCCACTTTGTCAAT